CCCTGGCCCGGAGGCAGCCGCGGCCCCGCGATGCTCTGCGCGCACGGACGCGCGGCCCCGCGCGCAAGCGCCCCCCTCCAGCCTTTGCTCAGGCCCTTCCCTGAGGCAGATCGCTTGCCCAGAGTCCCAGCTCCTCCGCGTCTCCTGTGTTTCAGGTCTCTTCTGGAGTCTCCCTCAGAGGGGCTGTCCAGACCACTCCGAGGTTCCGAAGAGCACACCAGCACTACAGCTTTTCCTCTGCGTACTTCTAAACAGCACGTCTACCCATTATTTGTAAGTGTTCTCCCCACCAAGAACTTAGTATCTCCAATGGCAGGGCGTCCAAACTTTTCTCCGTGCCTTTTCCCGACAATTGTGTCTAGCACCAAGTATGGAACTCGGGTGTATTTATGTACCTCAGCGTGCCCTTACCCTACTGAAGCCCGAGAGTTTCATCTCTAACGCCTGCCTTTGAATACACTATGCCCACCTTCAGTAGTGGAGGTAAGCATTTTCTCTGGGTTGATAGCACCATCAGCCATCACATCTGAGCCGTGGAAATGCTGACCTAAACCTCTGGCTGTTTGATTATGTTCCAAAAACACCAAGTCCACGGGTGGAATCTGTTAATTGGGGCTCTTCACAACAGTAAAGTACTGCTTCAGTGCCAGTGTTTTCCTTAGCTGAAGCAGTAGTTTTGTTCTAAGCAAGTGATTATCTGTGGTTTCTTTTCAATGACTGGTAAGTTATTAAATCATTCATGTGTCATGTATTTGTTTAGTTTCCAATTCAGCTCAAAGTAACATCTGCCCAAAGGGGTACCAATTATACTGTACTGATAATCACACCTATAATCTTACATTGCCTTAGTCTTTTTAGTAGTTGGGTCTGTAAGGCCTCACCGGAGCGCATCCCTGCCACACTTTTTAGTGAACTCTGTTGGAATAGGCATAGATACAAAAATAACATGGTTTCCCTAACAAATTCTGTCCATAATAGCTTTATGTACAGGGCAGTATGCTGCCGACATAGGATAGCTACTATTGGGATGGTCAGAACTTTCCTGTCTGCTGCCCAGAGCCAGCCACCAGTAGACAGCTCCAGCCACGGCATTGTCACACTGCATCATCTGTTTCCAAGAGAACTGATCACCTGTAATTTACAAGTCTCGTCATTTATTCCAGCTTGCATCCACTCTGAAGGAGCATCCCATCTATATAACCCAGTGGACTAGATGAGGGACTCTGTTCAGATCTAGGTCAACTTCTTTTCTCCTCCAAGGATACCAAGAGCATTCCCTTTTAAGTCTCTTTTAAGTTAACACTAGTATGTAAACATCTGCTATCAGAGAAACCCCACCTGTGACCTTGCTCGCATTTGTTGACAAAACACATATTACAATTTGGAGTTTGTTTTCATTGAGACAACACCTTCTATCGTTCAGGCTGATTTACAGCTCCATAATATAGCTTGGAACTCTTGATTTTTCCGCCTCTGCCTCACAGTGCTGGAATTTTAGGCTACCAAGCAAAATTGAGGCCAGCCTGAGCTACATAAGGCCCTGTCTGAGAGAAAGACAGATGAGAGATCTAAACTTCTCCATTTACAAACCAGGCCTAAATTTCAGTTTCTTAAACAAAGGACTATTGGTCAACACCACCACAGACAGCAGGGATGAGGAAGGGAGCACATACAAGGCCTGAATCCGCCCTACAGTATCTCAAAGCAATGACCAAATAAGGACAGTTCCTGCAAACCTCTCAAAACATGTCCAAAGATAGTAAAACTAACCTCAGCCAATCAAAAGTATACTAGTGTAACTGTTGCCTGCTTGACCAGTCACACTCAAGGTGACCTAACTGTTCCTGGAATATCCCTAGCTGTGCTTGAAGGGAGCCTGTGTGCTCCTCTCGGAGTGCCATTTTGTACAAATGGTTGACTCTGCATTCTGGTAAGTTCTGCAGAATAAACACTCTTTGTTTTTACATATTATTCTAGTCTGGAGTCTTCCTTCAGCAATTTGCAGATCCTTACCTTTGGGGGCTCATCCGGGATCACTGAGGACCCTCACCTCTACAGTAGAGCGTTTTAGCGGAGTACATTTTGTACTCCGCTGATTGATGAGTCTGGGTTGTCTGTGTCTAGTCTGCTGTCCAGACACAATCTGGAGGCCTAGGGAGATAGGGCAGATGTGGCGTTAACTTCTTCCTAGAGGGGAGGGGTTCTGTTGGAACCCAAAAGCTCCGCTCTGGTGGAGCCAGAGAACTCCAGCCTGACTTTGGTTTTGATAGTCAATGACTGTTGCTCTTGTATGGCAGAGCCTGGTTGCAGAATAGGCCACTGTCTACAACATTCTAGTCTCTTTCCCAGACTCTGGTGAGTTTGTCTGTGTGTGTGTGTGTGTGTGTGTAACACAAATCTTAAAAGGTCTTATTTTAAAAAAAAACAAAAAACCTGGGGCCAGAAAACTGAGTGATCAGAGAAACAGACTGAAAGCCTTTGAGTCCTCACCCAAATAGATCTCAGCTGAGCTGCTTAAAAGCCTCTACTTCCTGGTCCTCACGCCTTATATACTTTTCTGCTTCCTGCCATTACTTCCTGGGATTACTTCCCAAGCAAAGACATGAGATCTCAAGTGCTGGGATTAAAGGTGTGTACCACCACACCTGGCTCTGTTCCCCGTGTGGCCTTGAACTCACAGAGATCCACACAGATCTCTGCCTCCTGAGTGTCAGAATTAAAGGTGTGTGTGCCACCATTGTCTGGCCTCTATGTCTAATCTAGTAGCTTTTCTGTTCTCTAACCCCCAGATAAGTTTATTAGGGTACACTATTACAGTACACAATATATTGGGGTACACAAAATATCACCACATGTGTGTTTTGTTCATCTTTTACTTTCTTGAAACATACTACCATGGGACAGTCAGCTCCACTCTTCTGGGCCTGATCCAGTCACATTTCAAGGACTCCAAACACCAGGCAGAGAATCTGGGGCTGCTTGTACAGCCAGAAAACTAACCATATTTTGCAGGAATGAATGGCCAGATGGCGGCACCTTCCACCTCCCTACCATCTGTCAGGTTAAAGATATGTGTGGAAAACCTGGGCATCCCGACTAGGTCTCATACATCACCACGTGACAGTATCTAGTGGAGAGACCCGCTTCTTGGTTGAAGCCCTTCCTGCCACTGGTCCCAACAGTCTTGCAGGTGAAAGAAGCAGAATGGCTGAAGGACCATAAGCCAGCAGTCCCACCCCCTTCTGTATGAGGAGGACCTTTACCAGCCTCCCTATGCTCCAGTGCCTATGCTCCGGTGCCAACCCCAACACTAGCGCCTGCCCCTCCCCCCCACAGATAGCTGCTGCCAAACCAGGCCTGGGGCTGGGGGTGGAGGGGCAGAAGGTGCGGTCAGTCACCCTCACACCTGGTGCCAGAACCATGAGACAGGCAAATCTGCTACAGTGGCCCTGCCTCTGTGGGCAACTGGGTCACCAAATCAGGCAGGTCATCAATACATGTCCCACATACCCTTTGCTACTAGTGATTTGTACAATTGGAAGATGCAGAACCCCAAATTTTCTGAAAAATCATCTGCCTTAATAGACCTTCTAGATTCTGTAATGATCACACATCATCCCATGTGGGATGACTGTCAGCAGCTTTTACAGTTGCTGTTCACAACTGAGGAGCAAGAGCATATCCTGGCTGCTGCCCGTAAAGTGGTTCCAGGGCCACATGGCCAGCCCACAGCTATTCAGGCCAATATTGATGAGGCATGACCCTTGACTGGCCCAGAATGGGATCATAACGGCCCACAGACAGGGAGCAGCTGAAGGTCTACCACCAGATTCTGATGGGGGTCTCCATGAGGTCTCAAGATGGCCCACAAATTTATCCAAGGTAGGACAGGTAGTTCAAGGTAAGGATGAGACTCCAAGAGCCATTCTGGAGTGGCTAATAGAGGCTTTGAGAACCTTAATTCCTTTCCACCTGAAATGGTTTAAAAACCTTTACTACAGCAAAGAACTTTTTTGCATGTTTTCAAATAAGATATAATGAAAGCCATTAATATTAACAAACTTCATGCCCTTTTTAAAGTCTATCAAATAAATTCAACATTCAGTTTACACATCTTAAAATTATTTTTATTGAGTGAATTTTAACATTGCTTGTAGATGGTGCAGCTACCCCACACAGAAACAAAGCCATTGTGAATGCTGTTACACATCCTCTGTCACCTGGCATGTTTGCACGTGGAATATAGTTAAGTGTTTGACATCATAATCAAGCAAACAGCAGTGCATACTCTATTACTCAAAAAGACTTTATGCATTTCATTAAAAAAATCATTTTGCAAGTGGTTTCAGCTTTATCCACAATCTCATTTGACACATTCCATACTTCATGCTCTCAAAATAAAAAGTGGCCTAAAACTAAGATTTTTTTTTTTTAGGTTACTGACATTAATGAATACCATTCAGGTCTATAGTATTAAAGTTTAACATTTTACATTATAAGCGACAATAAGTTACTGATAATCTGGTGACAAATTCCACTCAAACTAAATACATCCTGTTACATTCAAAAGACATTTTGTAAATTTTAATAAGCAATTTTGTATGCTGCAGTGCAAAAGAAGTAACACCTAATGTTTCCTGAGCTTTAGGAAATTAACGATTTTCGGACCACTACTCTCAATTTAAAATAGGCGGCTTAATATGCAAAGCCATGTCAAAACTATACAATTAAATTAGGTTTTTTGAGAACTGAAAAGATTGGCCAGCTATGATGGCTTAGGGTAAAGAAAAAGTTTTCAAGCAGAAGTATTTACAGCTCTGAGGAGGGTACCTGCATCTGCCTGTAGAACAAAGGTCAGAGAACCCGATTACCAAGTGTCCCTTTCCTTTCAAAAACAGTACACTGAAAGACATTATGGTCAGTTATTTAGCATTAAATATTACCAACTTATATTACACATTTTAACATACCATCCCATAATGCCCAGTACAAAGGAATAAATGTGATAAAAGATGAAAATCAAAGAAATAAACATGCTTTAAGGAATGTTTTGAATTTGTGTGCATCAAGTGAGGATGACTTCTCATTAGAGCTCTGCACCCTCAAAACTACAGAGATCGAGTTTCTACTTCAATCTTTTCCTCTGCTTGTAGTACATCAGGGTCAACATGAACAACTGGAGGTCGGAGGATTACTTCAGGCCCTCCACCATAGATAGACTGCAGGAAATTCCATGTTTCTTCTGAAATTTGACCAGAGTCTGCTCCTAAAATTGTGTATATGCAGAAAGAATGATGTTTACAAACATGAATGTTTATATTGCATAGATAAAAGCTACAATATGTAATGTTTTTAAAATTTCTAGAGATTCATATTCCTAGTTCCAACCAACAACTCTAAAACCTTCCCACAAATAACACACTGCTTTCTCACCCTTTGTTCTACTGTAAGCCTGAACATCCCTGAATTAGGTTAATAAAAAAAATAACATGATGGCTGATTAGTATTTCTATCAGTGAGACATCTCAGCAAGTAAGGGTTTCAATACTAATTAAAGCAAGATGGTGCACACCTGTAATCCCCACACTTCGGAGGCAGAAGCAGGAGGATCACAAGTCAATGCTGCCACTCTTGGCTACATAGCACACTCAAGGCCAGTCTGGGGTACATGTTTCAGAGAAAAAGCTGTATGTGTTTATTAAACACTCACCTTGCTTGAGCATCACGTTACCACATTTAGTGACTGCAATTTTAGTGTTGTCGATAGGACCTGGGGGATCTAAGTCAAAAGGATAAAAGAATTATAAAATGCACACTTTCAAAGATATGCTGCAAGGAACTACATCATTTTATAGCTGAAATAATTGAGAACTACCAATATAATCAAGGTAGATATTTTTTAACCAAATACCATCAATTTTAAGTATCTTCTCAGCTTTGGGGGTTTCATTTGACCCAAAACAACCAAGAAAGGTGAGAGGTTACTCAGCACCAAAATCTAACAGAAACAATTTCTTAACTGCTCATTTGGGAATTGCAGATCAAATATTTTTTTAATGCTACAAAACAACAACCCCTTTATTAAAAAAAAAATCATATTCTCAGTTCCAAATTTGTTATTTAAACCAAAATCACTATAAAATGAAATATTCAAAAGCCTTTTTTTTCTGAACATGAAAGTATAATACTTGTCCATCCTCAAAAGCTCCCAACAGGCACAAGGAAGAAGAATTACTAAAATCTTACAGAAAAGTAGGCATATGGTTTTAATATCTGTGTGGTCTTTTGCTTTTGCACAATACATTGTTTAAGGAAAGAGGGCAGTCGGGGAAGACTAATAAGAACAAAGAATAATGCCATATATTTGAAAATGCCATAATTAAGTCCATCACTTTGTTTGCTAACTTGAAAAATAGACCAAAAGATTCAAATACATACTTCTTTTAAATCAACTCAATATTTCATGAACACTTTATTTTCAAGTTATTAATAGTAGTAGTATTGAAATAGATTCTCACTATATAGTCCTGGCTGGCCTGAAACTGGCTATGTAGAAGAGGCTGGCCTGCCTCTGCCAACGCTAGGATTGAAGGCGTGCACCACCATGCCTTCTACTCAAATTATCATACAATTATTTTTAAAAGTCCACATTGTGTTCCATGTATTGGATAAATTATAATTTACTCACCATCCTGTTGTACAGTATTTTTAAGTTTTTTCTTTCTTTTTTTGGGGGGTGGTCTTTTTGAGATGAAGTCTCTCTCATACACAGCACTTAACTATGTGGACCAGGCCAGCTTTGAACTCACAAATAACCCCCGGCCTCTAAAGTTTTTCAGCATTAAGATTATTTTTATTTATGTATCTGTGTGTATGGGATATCTGGGCCAGTGGAGACTAGAGAGTGCCAGATCTCCTGGAGCTGGAGTTACAGGTGATGAGCTGACTGACGGAGATGCTGAGAGAGA